CTCTACCCTCCTGACCGCATCCGACGGTTGTCGCCTAAGGACATGCCCAAACCACCGTAATATTCCCTCCCTCAATTTTTTGGATATAGGCACCACCCCCAAGGACATCCTAATAGTAGAGTTTGGTGTCATGTCCCACAGAGTCCTACCATATTCCCATCGAAGCATTCTCATTTCTGCGGCCTCCATCCTCCTTACGTGATCCTTATTGATTTCCCAACATTCTGATCCATACAGCAGCGCTGGTCTTATTGCCATTCTATAAAATTTTCCCTTAAGTTTTAGAGGCACCTTCTTGTCACACAAAACTCCAGTAGTAGCCCTCCACTTTAGCCATCCCACCTGTATAAGGTGTGTAACGTCATTATCTACACTCCCATCTTTATGTATCATAGACCCTAGGTACTTGAAACAATCCTTTGAGGGGAGAACATGTCTGTCTATGCATACTTCTACATCTTTATCATTTTGATTCCCACTGAAGTTTGAACATAAATACTTTGTCTTTTCAATATTGATCCTTAGATCTTTTTCTTCCAAAGCAATCTTCCAGGTAGACAATCTACTATTCAGCTCAGTTTTTGTTTCAGCAACTAGGACAATGTCGTCAGCGAAAAGCATACACCATGGAACACCGTCCGGTGTCGCACAATAGATTTCGTCCATAATCAAGGCGAGGATGTAAGAGCTAAGAGCTGACCCCTGGTGGAGTCTGATTTCCACCGGAATGCCTCGGTGTCGCCAACTGTAGTCCTGACGTATGTAGTAGATCTACAGTACATATCACGAATCTCCCGGATATAAGCAGTTGTGATCCGTCTCGTTTCCATGGTTTTCCAGATCGTATCGCGGGGAACGTTATAATATGACTTCTCAAAATCAATGAACGCCATGTGAAGATCTCTATTTTTCCCTATATTTCTCCATAAGCCGCCGAAGTAGATGAATCACCTCTATAGTAGACCTGCCTGGCATAAAGCCAAATTGGTTTTTCGAAACCCTAGTAACCTGTCTCAACCTAGCCTCTATCACCCTTTCCCATAGCTTCATGGTATGGCTGAGTAGTTTAATACCTCTGTAGTTGCCACAACGTTGGAGATCTCATTTATTCTTATAGATTGGTATCACCGTAGACTCTCTCCACTCCTCTGACATATTGGCAGTCTCTAAAATAATATTAAAGATGTTGGTCAACCACATAACTCCCTCTTCTCCTAGGGCCAACCATACAGTGATAGGAATTTGATCTGGACCAACAACTTTGTCCCTCCCCATCTTTCTAAGAGCCATTTTGACTTCCTCAAACCCAATCCTAATTGTAGGGTAGTCATTGGCCGTAGTATGATGGTCGGCTGACCCATCAACGGTACTATCTATACAGGGAGAGGCACCATCATTAAATAAGCCAAAGAAGTAACTACCCCAAACCCTCTTAATATCATGATTTTTCACAAAAAGAACACCATTGTCGTCCTTAATAAACCTAATGCTACCTAGATCCTTTTCTCTATTCTCCCTGGATTTTGTAAGCCTGAAGATGTCGTTTTGTCCTTCCTTGGTGTCTAATCTCTTGTACATTTCCTCGTATGCCTTATCCTTTTCTTTAGCCACCATTTTCTTGGCTTCCCACTTTGCCTCCTTGTATCTTTGTTTAGCTCTCGATCTTTCTTCGTCGTCATTGCATTGTAGAAACTCCTTGAAGTAAGTTTGCTTTGTCTTCAGCTTAGTTTTGACTTTATCTTTCCACCACCATGATTCTTTATGTTCCTTGACCTTCCCTGTAGACAACCCAAGGGTGTTTTTACCCACCTCTCTGATGGAATTTGCCATATTTTTCCATAACATATCTGCATTATTTGAGTTTATAGTTCCAAAACCTGTATTAGACAAAACCTTACTCCTAAATTCATATGTTGTCGCTCCATGTAAGTTCTTCCAAAGGATCCTAGGTTTACCAAGTTTAGCCCTCCTATGAGTGCTCCGCCCGTGGCGTACGCGAAACACCAAAACCAACAATCTGTATTGTGATGTACATGCCTCTTTAGGGAACACCTTACAGTCAATACAAGCCCATCGATCCAGGATATAGTCGATTTGGGTACAATTTCCCCCGCTATGGAACGTAATCAAGTTCACATCTCTCTTGTTAAAGAAGGAGTTAGTGACCACCACCTCGTGTGCATCAGCAAATTCAAGCAACGTACGCCCCTCCTCATTCCTACTACCAAAACCGAAACCCCCATGAACACCGTCATACCCGTCGGTTGCACTACCTATATGACCATTGAATTCTCCCCCTATGAAAACTCTTTGGTCCTCCGGAATGCTCCTAAGTACATCATCTAGCTGATCCCAGACGCAACGTTTCTCCCCCCTAGGCCAACGTGTGGGGCGTACACTGTAAGGACATTCACCACTTTTGCTTCTATAATAACCTTAATCATCATGATCCTATCCCGGTATCTACAAACTTAAACTACATTTTCCTTGAGCCTAGAGGATACCAAGATACCCACCCCATTTCTAGCGTTATATACGCCTGAATACCACAACTTGTACCCATTGCACTCTCTGGCGCGAGCCCCTTTCTACCTAGTCTCCTGAATACAAGCAAAATCTATTTTCCTATTACTAAGTACGTCGGTCAACTCCAGCAGCCTAGCATTTAATGTGTCTACATTCAATGAACAAACTCTAAGTCTAGTCTCTTTGGCACCACTCTGTCGAGCCCTCCCCTTATACGCCCTATGGGATCTAAAAGAATGACATGACCTCAAGTAATCATCTATAGCCGAAGCTATGAGGAACTATGAAAAAGAAATCCAAAGAAGGCAGAAGACGCACCAATAAAAGGCTAGAGAATTGAGGGGTACCAAGAAGCCTAGTTGGTTACCTAATATGATTTTAAGACAAATTAACACTATCTTACTTAACTTTAGGCGAACAACTAGAAACCAATGATAAAGAGCGACGATGATTGACCAGAACCGAAATCAACTCGAATTAACTTAAAAATCTAAAGGTTGATCTGAATTGAAATAAACCTGAATTAACCAGAATCGAAATCATTCGATCTAATATTGACCCGACCCAAAACCAATTGATCCAATATTAACCCAACCCAAAAGCCAATTGATTTGATTTTACCTAGAAATCAACCGATCTGATTTTGATATGGCTTGATACTTAACTCGAACTGAATTTCCACATACCTGAACTAAACCTGAATCAAGTTTGATATGATTTGAACCAAACTTAAATCAAATGTAATTTTGACCCAAAATGATCTGAAGCAAAATAACTTGATCTAAATGACCTGATTGTGACCTCTAATTTGTTTATGATTTAACCTTGATAACAGGAAAAAAATATAAGAATTTACAGTTTTACATATGGTATATATTAAAAATAGAGGTATTCCATTTTTATGTTTTTATTAACAAATACATTTGATAAATTAAATTTGAAGGGGGTTAATAATTTAACTTTCTATGTATTTTCCTAATGTGTCTTTTTTTTTTCTTCTTAAAAGTTTTTACAGATTTTTAAAGTTAAATAGTAAGCGATATAAAATTATTAAAAAAATGAAAATATAATGCGAAATTGGCAACTACAAATCAAGGATATCAGCTGGTGGTTGCACGCAATCTTTTGTACAAATAATAGCAAGAATCTTGGGGACTCCCACCAATTAATTATTATTCTCCTTTACAATTAAAACAAAGCAGAATTCATTATCTGTTAATGATAAGTTGATACATTGATTATATACATTTAAAGGAAAATTTCAGGATGATTAAAAATATTTTTATGTATCTTTGTTGATGAAAAACTTAGGTTTGTGGTTGCTTTTGATGATTCAACCTTTTATATTTAGAGGGAGAATTACAATCACTTGTTCAGTGAAAGAGAAAGAAGAAAACAAATAAGATGGAAATGATGATGAACAATCATATGAGCGATCAAGAGAGATATATTCTCTAGCATTTTATGATGACTTATGTCCATATCTTTAACGTCGAGATCAAATCTAAGATGAGGATGACTATTTATAGATTGACAAGATAAATAAATGTGATTTTTATAAAATAAATTTAACATTATATAAGATGTGATTAAAATAAATAATTTCTCAGATAATGATAATTAAATTAAGATGTATTTTTTTTATCAAAATAAAAACAATCTGAAAATTAATTGACCATCTGAACAGTTTATTGTAAATATGAATTAATTATAATACCCTTACCCTACAAGTAGTAAACTAAATTTACATAACCTGAATTATTTGTTGCAGTCCATTTGCTAGACCCTTTAGATACTTTCTCAATACAAAGGAAAATGTGCACGTTTATGAAAATGATAATGTTATTTATTTTATTTTAACCCTTATTCCCATATGTAATGGGGTAAGGAGGAGGTAAGATAGTAGGATGCCCCCAACACCAGGTTGAGAGCAGCTTCCGTAAGAGACCTCCAAATTATGAAATGCTCTCTGTGAGACTCGATCCCATGATCCCAAGGTTAAGAACCTTGTGCTCTACCAAGTGATAATGTAATTTCACTAATATCCCAAAGGATCTTTTCTCCTAATTTACTTGAATATTATTAATTGCATACCCCAGTTTTGTAGAAAAGTTCCACAACACATGTTTCATGCTAAAATTCCGTCTGTCAGGCATTTTTAAATAATGGTAAAACAAATAATCATTGAAAATTAAAAAAGAAAATTGATATACATAAAATTATAAAAAAATATTGACAGGGACTTGAATGACTAATTCAATAATTATTCCCTCATTTTGTGGATTCGTAATCTTTTCTTAGGATTATTTTATTAACATCAATTCATTATAATTGTTATTTTTGGGAGCAATGACCACACGATTCCAACTCAATTGAAGAAGACAGATAGGGCAACAGGCTTGAATTGAATAATGGGTTCATAATAAGGACAAATTTCCAGAACTGATGCAACTATAAGAGGAATAAGAGGCCAAGTCTTCTACAGAATAACTGCTGCAGTTTTCTAAGTTCTCTTGTTCAACTATGGATTCTTCATCAACAAAATGGTTATCTGAATTGGTAAGAACTAAGATGTTTTCGACTTAATATTTTTGTGATTTTATGTGAATTATATGTATATTCATTTGGGATTTCGAATATACAGGGAATGGATGAATACAACATCATCCACCAATGTCATATGAACTCTCTAGCTGAACTGGCCACCGCAGATGATTTTGCTACCGCCATGGTCGGCGGAGGGAATTTGAAGCAATCATTCTCTTCCGAGAGCTATTCGTCTTACGCCAAAAACGCCACCACTTTTAGCGGCGGTTCATCATCCATTGAAACTCTTGATTACAAACCTGCAAAACATCTCAAAACCACCCATCATGTTCAACTTAAACCATCGACTCCCACGTCTCAATTCCTTTCGTTTGACAACTCTTTCAACAACCCTAAAGACGAGACTGTATCTTCTGGAAATATGAAGTTTTCACCTCTCGTAAACACGAGTTATGCACCAAAAAGCAATAGTAATCATGGGATGAAGACTACTCACTCGATGACAAGAACCCCTTCGCTTGCTCAAGATCACATCATGGCTGAGAGAAAGAGAAGAGAAAAACTTAGCCAGCGTTTCATAGCTCTCTCAGCAATCGTTCCTGGCTTAAAGAAGGTACCACCAATTAATCTTTCTTGTATATATTAATTAAGCTAGAGTACTTTTTACTGGAACCATGATTTTTTGTTTGTTTGTTTATAGATGGATAAAGCCTCAGTTCTTGGGGATGCTATCAAGTACGTGAAACAACTTCAAGAACGATTGAAGGTGTTGGAGGAGCAAACCAAGAAGAGAACTGTGGAATCTGTAGTTTTCGTGAAGAAATCCCAGTTATCGGCTGACGATGAATCTTCTTCATGTGATGACAACTCCGAAGGGCCGGTGACAGATGCAGCGCTGCCGGAAATCGAAGCTAGAGTCTCCGATAACGATGTTCTAATCCGAATCCATTGCGAGAAACACAAAGGGTTCGTGGCCAAAATACTAAGCGAAATAGAGAACCTTCGTCTATCTGTTGTTCATAGCAGTGTCTTGCCTTTTGGGAACTCCACTCTCGATATAACCATAATTGCCAAGGTAATTAACTGCCACAACTTTTAACTGAATTCATCATAACAATGGAAACCAACACCAATTTTTTTTTTTTTTTTTGCAGAAAGATTCTGAATTCAATACGACAGTGAAGGATCTTCTTAAGGACATTAGAGTGGCTTTACTGAAGTTCATGTGACATCAGTTTCTTAATTTCCACAAATATATTTAAGTTAATTTTCTTTCTTTTCTTTTTCCCCTCAAATCTTCTAAGGGAAACCAAGGCTCTCATAAATCTCTTCTTTTTTTAGACCATATCTCCACCTTGTTCCCAAAATCTGGGTTTTCTCCGTGGGGTTTTTCTTCCATACTTTTTTTTACGTGGTTTAGAAGTGAGACCACGTTTATTTCCTCGGATGCAAATGATAAAAGGCTTCACTGATTTTGGTTTCTTAGAGAGCATAGAGATTTCATTAAAATTGCAGCATTATCAATGAAATCTCTCTCTTCTCTATGAATTTGATCGAACATCATAGTCTTTTTGATATTGGTCTATGTTTATCTACATATTGGGAAGATAGCCTGTGGTTTCCCTTAGATTTGGATCTGTTTTTTCCCTTTTTTCAGGGGTCTGTGCTTTGTGTGAAACTCCCCTTTGTAAAATGCAAGATTTGCCATTTCTTCAGAAAAACAGGGCTTTATTTTCTTATGTAACACTTGATTATTGAACCATGTAAAAAGTATAATATATATATATATATGTGATTAATTGAAAGTATAATATATGTTACATAATATGTTTTTACACTAATTAAAGAACTATCACGCTCATATTTTCATTAACTAGTTAATGACCAATGACCCAAATGATATATTTTATATTGTTAGTGATAAATTTGAAAATAATAATTTAATGACTAAAATAGAAATACCATAATAGTTGGGTGACTAATAGGATAGTTTCTCAAAACTAAATGTAGCATAAGTACACCTAAATTACAGCATGACAACACCCGAATACATGCAAAACTTAGGCCTAATCACATATAATGCAACATAAAAGCACCCAAATATGTCTCATAGACCTCTATTGTTCTGCTTAAATCAAGTGAATTTAATGGTTAAATGAATGATTATTATCTCTAGAGATTCTAGATTCGATCCCGACATATGTAGAGATATTTGAACGTTCATCGTCAAATAATTGAAAATCTTTCAAGTAGACATTATCTTATAATCACCTTACATAAATAAATAAATAAATAAAAACTTCTACCGTCCTCTCCATATCACGACGAGTAAGTAACAAGATATTCAATATGCATATTGATTAATTATGAAGTCGTTTAAGACAAATAGTGTCCCTATTCCCATTATTGAAAGATGGGTTTTGTACATGAATCACGCCTCTTCCTTTATTTTCACCTTTTGTCAACTTTCTACTAATTAAAATGGTTATCTTAGATTTAAAAAAGTGATCTTCTATGCATCTCCGTTGTGTTTTCTCACTTGACGTTGAAACTAATTATTATGTCCCTCATCGATTCTTTAATTAATGCTTAAACATGAATAATGAAACAATAATTATAATAAGTCGAAGAATTCTTAGTGTTAATGTGTCATATACAGCAAATTATAGAGACAATTTGTGGACAACATATACGTACGTATTCGTCGTACAAATTCTAAAAGAAAAAAAAAGAGTGCCAACATTAACATATTACTATATATATATATATATATTCAATGCAACATCCATAATTCATTTTCAGTAAGAGAAAACTAACTGGTTGAATTTAAATTAGAATAGTATGATTAATATTATAATATTTGAGAAATTGTAAATTCGAACATGATTTAATTCTGCTATCTTTTTGTATAAAAAGTAAGAGAACGGAATTGATGATTAAAGAAAATATGTCATACCTACTCTAAGTGTCCAACTATTTGGGTTATTTAAATTGCAACTTGCTCGTATTTGTTTTTTTACTCCGAACCATGTTGAAAATTTACTGCTCACCTATATCAAGTTGGATGTATATAATAAATAACAAAGTTTATCATCTTGTCTTTATGACTTTATCAAAGATGCCTTAAGCTGATGGGGTTTCAGAAGTTTTCAAGACTTGGTTTTGGGCTACAATCTCACCCCAAAATAATCATTTTGATGAATAGATTCAGAGATTGTAACATGTCAGATTTAGTCGATTTTTTTTCCATCTCAACACAACTCAAGAAACATATATTATCCATCTAACTTGTTCTGATTCGGAGAGTATATTTCTTTCATCTGAATTTGATTTTACTCAATTTTTTATAGTAAAAACTCTCATTCAATCTGATTTGACCCGACATAAATATATAAAAAAATTATTCGATAAAATAAAGATCTAATTAAAATATTATAGAGAGAGGGGTGTTATATCAATTATCCCTAAATTTATAATAGTAGAAAAAGATATCTCGAGTCGAGTAAAGGATTTTTCACCCTAAACTTGAACTCGGTTCGAACCAAACCCTATTTTTTAAAATTAATTCTATGAAATCAAATCTAGTTAAAATTGGTCAATTTCAGATTAAATTATAATTTCTAATTAGACTAGATTATATAAATTATTTATTGTTGAATTATTTTTCCAACTCAAAATTTTGCAAGATGAAAGGCATATAACTGGAAATCTGACTTCCATCATTAGTCCAACTTCCAGGAAACGGGGATCGAAATTAGCTAAATTAATTACTGTCATTCAACAGCCCACCATTTCCTGTTTCCATCCACACTTGGAAAAAACTGAAAGAAAACTTCGGATAATAACAATAAAATTAGTAACTTGGAAAAACCTTAAATGCTTGTTATATTTTGTTGATATAAACTCTACTCTTCGTCTCTTTATTTCTTTTTCTTTTTCCATTGCTTTCCTCTCAAATACTGGATTAGGGTATATGGTTGGATATGTTATTGGTTGTCTTCTATAAGTAATTGATACCAATTATTTGATTATTATTACAAAATAAATTTATTATTACAGGTATTAAGAAAAATTACTTATTATTATTTTATAAATTTATATTAAAATATTTCGATGAAATGAACACCATATTAGTGTATAAGAGAAATAAATGAAATACAAGGCTAAATTGATATTTTCAAAATTATATTAGAATTTAAATCCAAAAAACAACTCCATCTGAACCTGTTTGTTTGCCCTTTTAATTCATCAAAATTAATTGCATGAAACTATACCATTCAAAACACTTTCCCTGAATTATTTTTGCTATAAAGTAAATTATTTTTTAAACAACCAATTTAAATGCCTTACACTTTAATACATCCATTTGTAAGTTAATAAACTCCAATTTAAAGATAGATGAGTATGGAACACAAAACTGATGTCTCACACGCAGGATTAAGAAAACTACTCATATTTCATTCAAATATTTTTTTAGCTTAATATAAAAAATTTCAAAGTATTTCTCTTTTCTTATTTAAGTGTTTAAACTTTTTTAGGTTAATATAGGTGTTTAACGTTACAAACATTACCATTTTAATAGTCTAGTCCGTCATAGCCATTAAAAAACACAATCAACCACTCAAAATGTGACATGACGATTAAAAATTTATGAAATAATTAAAATTTCTTCAAAATCTCAAAAAAATATTATTAATCCCAAAGTATCAACCCACTCATCAGCCATCCTCTATTGATGTTGATCACCTACCCACTCGTCGGTGAATCTGTTAAAATACTTCTAATTCATTTATGCACTTATCAATGTATACAAAATACATATATATAATATTAATAATAAGGTAACTGCTTCTAACCAACCTCTAACTAACTCCTAACTACACAATAACACCCAACTAACTTTTCTATACTCAACACTCCCCCTCAAGTTGGGTTGTAAAACACATCTTTTACTCTCAACTTGGATAACAAATATTCATACTGTGAAACACCAGGCGCCTTTGTTAAAATGTCTACTTGTTGTTATAAGGTTGGATCAAACCCTATCTGGATCGAACACTTTTTAATTTTCCCTTTATAAAGTGACAATATATCTCTATGTGCTTTGTCCTTACATGAAATACTAGATTAGTTGTAATCTGCAAAGAAGCCTTGCTGTCACTATAAATCTTTGTTGATTGATCATTGTTGATTCCATGTTCTTCTAGCAGCCTTTTCAGCGAAAAAAACTCTGAAGTTGTTATGGCCATGCTCCTGTACTCAGCTTATGCTGAAGATCTTGCAATAAAATTCTGTTTTTTAGATTTCCATGGGACAAGTTGCCCAGACTGAGTCACAACTTGCTACAAGCTAACAGTTACTTGAAGCCTTCAACATAATTCCCAAACTAGGATTCTTTTTAATGTATCTTACCACTCTAAGAGCTACTTCCATGTGTTCTTTCTTTGGTTGATGCATAAATTGACTCAAGTTTTGGACTGAAAAAGCTATATCTAGCCTTGTATGTGTCAAATACAACAACCTTCCAATAAGCCTCTGAAATTCTGCTCTATCAGCTAAACAATCTTTCCGTTGGTTCTGATGTTGTTGAAATGAATTATCATAATCCATTGTAGTGAACTTAGTATTCTGCTCTAAAGGTGTTGCAGCAGGCTTTGCACCACCTATTCCAGTATCTTGAATAAGCTCAAGAGCATATTTCCTCTGATTTAAAAGTATTCATTCCTTTGTTCTCAAAACTTCTAAACCAAGAAAATACTTTGACTCACCCAAGTCTTTCATTTTAAAACTCATATGAAAAACTTCTTTCAATTCTACAATCATCTTCACATCATTTCTAGTAATCATCAAATCATCAACATAAACTAAAAGTATCACAATGTTATCCCAATGCTTCTTAGTAAACATAGAATAATCATGTCTACTTTGATCATAGCCTGCTAAAAGTAGAGATTATGTAAGTTTAGCATTCCACTGTCTTGAGACTTGCTTTAAACCATAAAGATACTTTTGTAGTCTGCATACCACATTCCCCCTGACTACAAAACCCTTGAGGTAATTCCATGTAAACTTCTTCATGTAAATCACCTTGCAAAAAAGCATTGTGAACATCCATCTGCCATAAAGTCCAATAAAAAATAGCAACAAGAGCAAGAACAAAGCGAACAGTTGTAAGCTTGGCAACAGGAGAGAAGATATCCACAAAGTCAACCCATCTCTCTGATTATAACCTTTAGCCACAAGTCTTGCCTTGAACCTCTTAACTTCTCCCGAGGCTTTGAACTTTACTCTAAACACTCATTTACACCCAATGCACACTTTTCATGGAGGTAAAGGAACAAGAGACCAAGTTTTATTTAATTCAAGAGCATGAATTTCTTCCTGCAATTCCTTAACCCATCGAGAATCAGATTGAGCTTCTTGAAAATTTTTGGGTTCAAGAGAATTAGAAAAAGAAAAGATAAAGGATTGTGTATGATGTGGCAAATAAGAATAAGAAATATGGTTAGATATGGGATATTGACCTGGAAGAGAAGTAGATTTACAGGTATGAACATAATCACTCAACCAAGATGGAGGTTTAGAAACTCTAGAAGAAGCTCTAGTAGACACAGAACTAGGAACAGAAATAGTAGGAACAATGTCTTAAGCAATATCTGCTGAATCATTAGGAAGATCATCTAAAATACTTGATGAAGGATTAATAGGAACCTCTGAAGAATCTGGAGGTAA